TTACTAATGCATTTAGCAAATTTTTATGCTATTATATTGGCATTAATTGTAGAATTTTTAATTATAAAGCTATGTTATCAGAGAAATAAACAGAATTTTCTAATCTGCTTTCTCAAAAACTTAATTTACATAATATTTCACTTGATTACAATATCAATAAAAGCATAGAAACTACTTGGTATAAAATTGAATACTCAAGAATTTATACTACTATACACTTAATATCTAATAAAAAATTTTACAAATATAGCTACAATTACAAGTACTCTTCTCATAGCATCCTACTTTACCTATTATTTAAAGAACTTAGACACTTAATCAAAATTGTTAAAAATTAAAATAATAATTTAAATATTAATCAAATTAATTTCAGAATCCAAAATATAAATACAAAATCTAATTGTAATCTTTAAATCTTGCTTTCTAACCAATAGCCAAAACTTAAACAATGAACTTAGCATATATAAGATATTTGAAAACAGTTTTATTATGCATGCTATTTTGAAAACTCTCTACTATTCTAACAACAAATTCAACAAGTTACTGAAAAAAGATGTGAACTTCTTTTTATATATTCTAAATAAGCTATAAACAGTATTCTTAATCATTACAAATCTCTTATTCACTTTTCAAATATCAAACTTCTTAACTAACTAATTACAGAACTACATCTTATCAAACAACATATACAATCTCACTTTCTTAACTAGACAGCCTACTGACTAATTAACCAAAACTTATTTAATAATTTTTGATCTACATAATAGTAATTACAAGCATACATTGATATCTAATGATACAGCTTTCTTACTATCCTTATTACAGAAAAAGAAGTACTTCAAACTATAACAAAACTTTTAAATAGAAAAGCCTATAGTTCTACAGACATTAGTTATGAAATACTTAAACATGTAGATGCTGGCTGCATTAAAGCTATAATTGCTCTATTTAATTACTGTCTTAACTCAAACTAAACTTCTAAATAATAGAAACATAACAGAATCTATCTTATTTTAAAGCAAAACATGTTTGATAAAATTTTAATCTTATTTGTTCTATAAGCCTTATTAAATATATTTGTAAACTCTATACAAAGATTATTACAAACAGAATCAGTATAATATTTTTACAATACTTAATTTTCTTACTATATAATTATATTACTTTATCTAACAATAGCACCTCAATATCCATACATATACTTAACAATCTTATTGAAGATGCATCATGCAATCAAAAACCAATCTGACTATTGTTTCAAGATATGAGTAAAGCTTATGATTTAGTTAATCTTAATCTTCTTAAATACTTCTTGCAATGTTTTACTCTTCTTTCTACTATTACCAATACTATCTTTAATCTACTTACTGACTGACAAAATCAAGTTATTACAAATCTTGATCTTATCTTTTCATATTTAGTACTTAATAATATTAATTAAAAAGAAACTATTACTTTACTTTTATAAAGAATATACTATAATCCACTTATCTTATACATTTACAATAACTTCAATAGATACAAAACTAAAGTTTCTTGACCAATCAATTTTAAAAATTAAACATTTTACAAATCTAAATCTTATTACTCAATTCTTGCTTATATAGATAACACTTTATAGATTGCATCTTCATAGCAAAAACTCTCACAAATTCTTTTGATAGCAAAATCTTTTTATAATATAGCTAATATTCAAATTAATTCTACTAAATCAATACTTACAACTAATAATTTTTTAACTAATTACAGTCTTATTACTTATAATAGTTATTTACTTAGCCTTTATTCTTTAAATAAACTATTTAAGTTTTTAGAAAAGGATATAATAACTTAGTGAAGTAAATAAGTTGTTAACTCTCTAAGTGGTAGATAGTGAATTCAAAACCTACTAATGATAAAAATTTGGATAATCATCTATATAATATATAGACAGTATTATAACAATAGCATTCTGTTGATTAGTTAAAATAAAATATCTGTAACATAGTTATACTAGTATAACTAATAGGTTATAAGGCATCTGTGTAATGTTAAAGTTATATAAAAGAATACAAACTGGTATTAGATGGTGCAAACCAAAATAAGTCCTTATAGTCATATAAATTTGTGAACTAAGAGCCAGAGCCCACTTGAGAAGACCCAAGTAGAGAAGTAGCACAGATCTTCAATAGTATCACTATAAAGACTAGATCTAAAAAACAGATACCAATATAGAAGAAATTAGACAGGCAAGAATTTCAAATAAAAAATACTACCAATTAGGCTATTAAAAATCTTGAACTAGAAAAAAAAATCTTGGAAAAAAGATTCTAAGATATCAAGAACAGGTCATAGTTCTTTTAGACTATCTGAATTAGAAGTCTGAGGTTGAAAGCAAGAGTATACTACAAGTATTAGAGATATGCTATGAAGTCAGTGCTAGGGTCTAAGTAAACTTTGCAAGGGCAAGCTCTATTAACAAAAAACTAAATATAAATAGTTAGTTAGCAGAAGGGCCTCCTAAAGCTCTACAGTCAAATAATGTATTCTGAAATATGTAATAGCTTAACAGATGTACAGACAGAAAGATTAAGGTAAGGTTAGATGGCATTTTAGTGTATAGGAACTTGTATACTATTTGTTAATATATATAGGAATCAGAATGTTTAAATAAGTAATCTCTTAGTAGATTACAGATATAGTAGCTAGTGTAGAATCTGCTATACAAGTAGACTACTTAATATAAACAACCAAAAGTTGTATATATAGCTAGTTGTAGACTTATCTTGTACAAGTTATATAACTATAATTAAAATACAATAAAGACAATAACTATTGATAATCATAAACTTATCAAAAAAAAAAAGTTTTTAGAATACTAGTTTACACTTAACAACAAACAAACAAAACAAACTAAGCTTATTACAGCTGAATTATTACATCTTGTTAAAATTATAAATAAAAAAATAATCACTAACATATATATATATTATATTATTAAACAATTATTATTCCTACAATCGAATATCATATTTATAATATTGTTTTTAGTTAAAACATATGTAATAAAATTTTTACTAACCATATTAGACTTATCAAAAGCAAAGCCAAACTTATTTATACAATTTCTACTAGTATACTACTTTATTTTCAATTATATAATATTTGAAATATATAAGATATTCAACTTCAACATCATATTACAAACTATACTGAAATGATAAACAATACTAATCCTTGTAAAGAAAAACCAAAATCATTACTTTTGTATAAAAAATATACTAAAAAGAAAAACTAGCAGATATAATATATAAAAAATCAACTCAAAAAAAATGTTTCTAGTTATTTAATTTGTTTTTAAATTTTTTATAACTTTTAACTAGAGTTTTTTTTTATTGTTTTTATAATGTTTTTCTGGTTTGGATATTAAATATAAAAAGGTTCTACCTGAAAAAAAAATTTAATCTCAATATAAACTACCAAAAGAGTTATCTGTACCTTAATTTTTTCATATACTTCTGATTTATTAGCAACAATTTGCTTCATATATTGATGCAAAATCAAAGATATTGTCTATTTATAAACTTAACTCTTCAAATTGTTTTGATACTAGTTTGATTTAAGTAATTATTAGAAAGAGTTATGATTATGTATATGATAACACATTAGTTTAACTACTAATTAGTAGTTTTTTTTAAATATTATTTATATATTTTAAGTTTTTAGCTTTTAAAATATATATATTCTTTAAGTGTTATGTATTATATATAGTTCAAAAATTGCTTTGTATTTTGAGTTCTCTCATTTTCTACATCAAACCTTTTCTGAATTCCTTTTTGCTTTAATAATTATATTTCAAAATATCATATCTACCAATTATATTTAAACTACATACTCTGAAAGCTTTTATTATTGCTTAATTATATGATACAAAAAAATAGTTAATTATATATATAACATAGTATCATATAATTCTAGACACTCTAGTAGTAATGTATATAGTTATATGACTTAGAGCCAATAAAATTGATTGTCTTAATTAATACAGATCAACTTAAGAAAAAAAAGAAAAAAAATTTAAAAATACAAAAAATAGGTTTAAACATATTCTCAAAAAGCAGTCAAGAATTTTATCAAAAATAGACAGTGTAGATTGCACCTTGTATAGTATGAAAATGTCAATTATATGATTCTAGATCATTTAGTTGTACAAAAATTACATGTAATTGACCAATCAAATTTAATCACAACAAAATTTAAATCTTTTTATTTATTCATTTACCTTTTTTATAATGGTTTATTGCAAGAGATAAAATGTGATTATTTAAAGTAAACATCTTATATTAGCTATTTGTATATTATTTAATATTAAATAAATAAATAAAATGGCAAAAGATCTTATGATGATAAAAAATGCTACATGGCCAATTAAATATATAGAATAACACAAAGATCATTCTAGAATGTAATTTTCTAATTTAGTAAAATCTCTAACTGAAAAGAGAATTTTAAGGTTTAAGCTTATTCAATAATAAAATTAGTCTGAGAACATTTTTCATTTAATGGTAGTTGTGATTTCATTAGTAAAAATTTGAGTAATTTTGGCCTAAATTTTTGATCATCACTGTTGGTCAATTAATCTCTCAACCTTTAATAAATAGACTATTACTTTATAATAAAGTTTTGAATGATAGAGCAAATTTGTTACTATACAGTGCTGCATATAGTACCCTTTTGAAGAAGTATCCCCTTTAAGTAGTATCCAGGTACTATTAAATCATAAATTTTATTATTTTTAAAAAATATTCTGGTATTAATCAGGTTGCTAGTATTTATTATTGTATTTATTCTAATGCTAATATTATAATACAAATTTGATACATTATAATTTATATAAAAGCATATAATGATAATTTTATTTATAGATTTAATATCAATACTAGCAATTATACATAGTAATAATGTTTTTATTTTTTTTAAAAAAAAATAATGTTAATTTTTTAGTTATACATATCTAATTACTAATCATCCCATAAATTATAATAATTTATTTTATTTTGAATATAATAATCATTATCCTCTTCTGCAAATTCTGCACTAATGTTAATTTCTTTAATTTCATTGAATGTTTCTTGATTTTTGTTCACTATATCAATTGCAATTGTATCATTTATTTCTTGATTTTCCTCATTTAGTAATTTGATCTCATCATTAGGTTGACTTGTTTGATCTAAATAATTATAATTAAAAATCAACTTATCTTCAGTTTTATCATGTTTATTGGATATACCACAACATTTAAAAGACCATTGAATTAAATTAATGTCAATCACATTACACAAAGCCTTGATTCAATTTACTACAATTTTATAAGAAAGTTTTTTAATTTTACTAGCAGCTGTTATTTCTTTTATAGAATTAATTATCTACTTATTATAAAATTGTTGCATCTAATAAAAATATAAAAAAAAAATTTTTATTAAATTTTTTTTTTGTTTTTTTTTTAATCCTTTGTTTTGAATGATTTATTTATCGAAACATCCAAAGATTATAAGTGGAATATCAAACCTCCAAATATAACAGCAATGTTGGTATTTTTTTCATCAAAACACCATTTTATAGAATCAGCAATATGAACTGAAAATGAATCCAAAACTAGTAATGATCATGGGTTTGAAATGCTTGAATGATTGGTCCAAATATTCTCAATTCAGTAAAGCATTTCATTCTCATTCATCCATTCAGTGGGATTAGCTCAGACAATAACTTTATGTGAAAAATTTCCTTGTAGAATATTTTTAAGTTTAAAAATTACAAGAGGTGAAAGCTTAGTACCATTTAACATATAGACTAAAACTACTGTAAAATTGTTTTTTTCATATCTAGTAATACAAATACAAATTAATCATATACCTGATATATCGATGGTAGTATTATATAGTAAATCAAATGATAAAGGCATTTCATTCATATTACTGATCAATATAAGTGGATAATTATACTAAATATGTCTATATATAACAAATGCCAAAAATGACTATTGTTTTTTAATTAAATCATCTGGTAAATGTTGTAAAAGAGTAATATGACAATGATTACTTAAATTATTATGACACATTAAACCATCCAACCATTTATTACTAAAAGCAAATGATTGAATATCAGGATATGCATTTTGTTATTTATTTTATTGTGAAAACATTTTAGCTTTCAGTTGAACCATGCTTCATGAAACTGCTTGTTGATTTTGTCATCTTTCTTTGATCCACCCAACCAAAAAAACTTCCAAATCAGGATATTTTGGAGAAGCACCTTTATTTAATCTCTTTAAACCTGATTGTGCTCTTAAAAATTGTGATTTTTTAGATATCCAATCCTGAAGCTGCTTGGTTTCAATATTAAATTTAGTAGCTGTTTTGTGTTTACTATGACACTTTCATAATATAAAATAATAACAAGTTTTCACATGCATTCCATTGTCATCATGTTTTGTTTGTAATTGTAACATGATTTGTAGTTTTGTTTGCTCTTGGACCTATTTTAATAATGATAAAGTTATATGAAATTAAATCTTTTTTTTTAAGCGAACTACTATTTATTTATTTACAAATAAACTCCATTTTACATTTTTTATGCCTTTATTCTATATTATGTTTATGATTATGATATTACTAATCAGTTTTATTATACGTACAAGCTGGGTGAACTGATAACATTTCTATTATGACGACATTGATTAATAATACTCTTTTCACAGTACCCCCCTTCTATAGTACCCCTCTCTTCACACAGTACCCCTAGGGGTATTATTTTAATTAATCTCAGCTTTTTTGTAAAATACCCAGGGTACTATATGCAGCGCTATACGGTAGTTCTTGCCAAACCGGATGAATCTCCGATTGTATTAATTATTTTATTACTACGTATTGATATAGTTTTACAAACTGAAATTTGATGGAACACTCAAAATGTACAACACTGATTTTAAGTAATTGACCAATCAGAAGAAAGTTGACCTGTGACTGTATGATCAGAACTTTATCTGAATTGGTCCTATTTTAGGGGGACGTTTAAAGCCTGGCACCTTCCGGTTTTCCGATTTTTAATTAATATTAAGGATTAAGGTTATACATAGGCTGGAAGGTTAATAGGTATATAGTAAAATCCTATTTCCAACACTTTTACTTAGTGCATTAAGACCAGTTTAGATAGCCATTTTTTATATTTTCGTGTTTTTTGCTTTGTCGGGTTGTTCGGAATAATGCGGGAAATATATCGGGAAATTTCGTAATGTGCCAGGCTTTAAACGACCCCTATTTTAGGGTATTTGTGAAACATCACTTTTCGACTCTACTTTTTTTATTGCAAGAATGTCGTCAGAACATAAACGGGTCAATATAAATAGCAATGCCGATTTTTCTATCTCTCAAAGTTCAATTTTACCCTCTGAATCGACAATCGAAAATACTGATGATACGCATTTTCATGAATATGACTACGATGATAGTGATGATGCAGAACTAGAACCATTTGGATACGAATTGCTGTCTCAAGACGAGGACGAAGAAAACAAGGATGAAGAAGATGATGATTCTGATCGTGAGGTATCAATTGATAGATCGTAAATAATATAATCTAATTATGATTTACATTGTTCTTTATGACCATCTTGTCCAGAAGGATAATACGCTACCAGGCGCATAAGAACAATAGCTTTCTTATTTATGAACTCCATATATTTCAATTTTATGTAAAAATTTATTTAATTTATATCTATCTACAATTTAAACCTTTAAAATATAAAGAATTTGTTATTTATAATATAAACAAGCAGATATTTTTAGATCTTGAAGATTTGAATTAATGGACAAAGTTATTATAAGATTTTTACATAGAATTGGATGTTCCCACTGTTTCCTTTTGTTGTGGAGAACCCCAATTTGTCAGAAAATTTGTTAAATAATTGCTGTTATTGTTCATTACGTGCCAATAACCATATAACATCTTTAGTAAGTAACATTGTGCTAATTCTTCGATATTGGTCGGTATAGAAAAAGTTGGAAAATCAACCACAAATATTACAAATCCGTACGACTGATCAGGAAAAAATTTCAGATGGTAATTACATTTATTCACAGAAATATAATTAGCTGATTCTATTGACAAAAAAAAATTATTAATATTGATCTAACCATTTAAAAGATGATGTGACAATTATTAATTCAATTATGAAAAATGTCAAACTCTCTGATTCTGCTGTGCCTGGTTAGTAGTGTTTTTTGATACTAATTAACTTTTGGGGTTATTATGTAAATTAATAGTTTCTCTTCTTTTTTTCTTAATTAGAATGGGCAAAGATTATTCCTGAAGAAGCTTGGTTACCTGTGATTATTAATAATAGTAAAGATACTCCTAATAGTACTAATAGTACTATTTCAAAATGCTGTGATTTGAATACTAATAATTATTAGATCTTAATGAATTAATAAACTTTATAAAATTTTGACCTATAATCTCATGTTAATAAATAAATACAATTATGTAAATTGAAATTAAAATTAACAAGTTAGCTTAACAACTAGTAATGTTACATAATGGGGTAGGCTCTATTTAAAATTTCTTTTTCAACTTCTTTCTTGATATGCTCGACAACTTTGTTGTCTGTTGGTATTTTAATAGGCGGTCTATATGAATATACAGTAATTGTTACTAGTAAATATTTAAAGCAACATTAAATAGCATAACCTAAAAATTTGACACAACAAAAATATCTGAACAGGATCACTTGTTAATAGGTGACCCTATTCGATAATCAATCGATTAACAATATGGGTTAGGTGCTGGGAAAAGGGCCCAAATTGACAATTTTTTCAAAAGTAATTTTTTTGCATAAATCAATTTAGAATAAAATTAGTATCATTTTTTACTTAAAACGCAAAAGTAGTTGTACTAATAAAATTTTGCTGTATAACTCTTTAAAATTTGCAATTTCTTACAATTTATTATAAGATTTACAATACAAAAATTGATCTTTTGCTTTGTCAATTTGGGCCCTTTTCTAAGCATCTAGCCCATATATTTTATTAGAGAGTCACCTACACTGAAGGGATCTCTGGATAATATTACTGTATTATGTAAAGAAATTTCTGAATAATGTTTTTAATAACATACCTCCCATCACGAAAGTGAACAAGTTCGATTGGAAGTACCAATCTTGATGTGCCTAAATCATGTCAAACAAGAAATGAAATTTATTTATAATCCAAAAAAGCATATTATTCAATCAGTTGTGAATAAACCAATTTACTGGTGATAAAAGCTCCTTCCCACTGAACCACATCATCTATGTTTGGAAACCAAAACTTTAAATCAATTTCATCCCTTTCGCAAATCATTATGACAATTTTTCTAATAGTTCCCTCGAGTACGGAATGTAATGGAGCTGTAATAACTATTGGTAGACGTGTATCAGGGTTATACGTTACAACAAAAAAGTTTGAACTTAAACCTTCGTAAATATTATGGGTATTAGAATCGGAAAGTAAAATTTCGTTGAAACCAGGTCGCATTGAGACCTCAAGATCTTTACGATCCCTTGATAATAACAAAATTCGAGAAAAAAATTATTGTATCTACATTTTATAAATATTGATCAATAGATATAAATACCGAATCCATTGAGAATCTTTTACTTCGGCTAGTTTTCTGGGTTCCCCATAAATCTCCACCTAGCGTAAATAAAAAAACATATTTGTCTACAGTTGTGAATCTGAAAAAAGCACCGAGTATAAACTGCGTATAGACAATATTTATACCCTGCATTTGGACGAACTAGGTGCATGTAAAGGTGTAAAATGAGCTGCCAATATAGGACGTGATTCCTTGATTGATGATAAAAAATGTTATATATCAAAGTAATTTAATATCAAACATCACAAAAATAAAAATATAACTTACTTTGAAAGAATAACACACAATCAATGTGATTTTGACCTCACTAACGCCTTTAATGTGCCATGTTGTTTCTTCTTCAATCTCAAAATATTTTGTTAATCCAATTTTCAACAAGGGAATAACTAATTCTTTAAACACCTCTGGATTCCTATAGGCTACCATTTCCCGTGTAACATAATTCGGTTCCGTTTCTTCAATATTCTCTTCTGAGACATTGTTAGATTCACCTTTATTTCCCTCAACAGGTAAACTTCCTGAATTTTTAAATTTCATCAACTTCAAGGAATCACACGTGCGATTTATGTGTCCTTGAAGATCCATGATAGCTGTTCTGTTGACAGTACGCGCCGATGTATACGCTCCTATAAAAAAATCGTCTGCATGATTATAATAGAGTTCAGAGATCAAGATTCTTAATCAACAGACCTCGAGGATACTGTAACAAAAATTCGTTGGGTACTGCTCGTGTTTCAGTTATTGCAAACTCTGCGTTATTTGACGATTCTCCAGTCATCGCCTTCAGTCTTTCGACAACCACTGCACTAAGCCAAATTCAGATAAATAAATTTTGCGAGAAAAAAAAACGGATCGAGTTTAAAGAAATACCAGATAATGGCTCAGTTTTCTTAAATGCTTGTTTGTTGGCTTCCATGGTAGTTTTGAAACCCCGAAAATTCGTTCGTATTAATAGGTTTAAAAAGAAAATTGCCTTAGTCCGATTTATCGATATGATAAGCATTATATAGTTCTTTGGTTCTTTTGGATCTGCCACCAAAATTTCACCAGGTGTAACGTAACACGATCAGGAAAATTCATAATTCAAAATTCTTTCAAAAAGGGAAATTTGACGCACTTTCTATTGGTTGTGGTTATTTACATGTCACCGTTTTTCAATACGTAGAACTAGAGATGTGCCTCTCGCGTGAAATGCTGATGTCATAATAAATTATTTATATTATCTCGCAATTGAATGACATCAGCATTTCGCTTGAGAAAAAAAATGAAAATCCTTAAAATATACCCGGGGTAGAGGTTATTATCCTGTGTCTTAATTTTAGTTTTTTAGGGTTAAGGTTAGTTGGCACGTGATGACTATTTTAAATTTAATTTATTTATTTTTGGTCATAGGTTAAGAGCCTATACCCCGGGTACATTTTAAGGACGCCCAAAAAAAATAACTATCCCAGCATCGCCACAAAAATTCTACTTTCACGTGATGATCGACGGTAAGCTAGCAAATAGCGAACCACGATTTGATATAAAGTTTTTTTTTTTATACTTATTTCTATTTTCTTTAGAAGTTCAATAATTGTGTTGGCTTAGTTGGTTGCAGTATAGGTGTGTGAACCTGTAAAAGTTTCTGTGATTGTGTAAATCACAGGAACCAGAAAGATAGAAGTTCATGTGGAAGATCTGAGTAGAGAGATAGTCTGAACTTTCAACAATGCAATTGTAAAGATTAGGTTTATGAAATGAAGTTAGAACTTGTAAAGCCAGATGAAGACAAATCAGTTTTTGGAAAAAGGTTATTGTAACCAGTCAGGTCATTAAGATTCATTTTGAAGAAAAAGATTATATATTAAAAGAACATGTAAACCAAAGATATAGTTATATCTATTTTTTTAGATTATCTATATTGGAAGTTTGGTAGAACTTAAATTGAATACTAAAGTAGTAGAGATATGTTATGAAATAAGTATTAAGATTGAAATGATCTTTACAAGAGTATAACAGTTTAATGATACACTCTAATTACAAATGTTAATTTTATAACTAAATCAGTTGTAAGAATAGGATATAAAAGATTTTAAAAGATTTAGTACAAGATCAAAGATTTATTATGTGAATAAATTGTTTTAAAAACTTAGTAATTATGATATATTTTTATTAATATTAATCAGAGTTGTTGATAAGTGTAAGTAGATGAATGGATATAAAAACTAAAATATTTAAATAAAAAACTTATAAGCAGATTTCTGATATAATAGTTAATGTAAAATCTTTGAACAGACTACTTAAATTAGACAATGACTAAAGTGGTATAAGTAGTTAATTGTATACTCTTTCTATAATTGTTTTCTGTAATTGTAATGTAACCATTAACTGAATATATTATTAATAAAATCTTAGATTACAAATATTTACTTTAATATTTAAAAAAAACAAAAAAACAAATATTATTATTATTATTATTATTATTGATATTAAAATAACCTCTTAGGTTTTTTGACTTTTATTAATAACTTTTTTTAGTAATGTGTTTCAGTAAACCACTACAAAAAAATATACAATTGGCTATATATAATTTTTTTATATTATATACTTAAAGAATCTATTTGAAGATTTCTTATTTTTTTTTTTTTTAAATATTAAAATAAGTATTTATGATTCAGAATTTTATTAATAGTATATTTGACTAATAGTTGCATTACAACTACAGAAGTCAATCATGAAAAAAGTATACAACTAGCTATTTGTATAACTTTAGTCATTGTCTAATTTAAGTAGTCTGCCCAAAGATTCTATACTAATTGCTATATCTGAAAACTGTTTGTAGGTTCCTTATTTAAACACTTTAGTTCTGTCTACTAATAACTCTGACTAATGCTAATAAAAATATATCATAATCACTAAGTCTTTAAAATAGTTTACTTATATGAGAAGCCTTTGACCTTATACAAACTTTTTAAAATCATCTGTATTCTATTTTTATAGCTAACTTAGTATTACTATAGCTGAGACCAACATTTGCAATCAAGTTATACTATTAAATTACTATTCTTTTGTAGAGTTCATTCCAATTCTGATACTGATTTCACAATATATCTTTACTACTTTGATCTTTAATTCAAGTTTCACAAGCTTTCAAATTAAATAGTCTAAAAAGACAAATCATAATTATATATCTTTGGTTTACATGATTTCTGACATGTAATTTTTTTTTTGAAACAGATCTTTGCAGTCTGATTAGTTCTATTTGGTCTCTTTTTGAAGATTAGCTCTTTATTTAATTTCATAAGTTCTAGTTCTGTTTTATAAATTTAGTCTTTATAGTAGCACTGTTGAAAGTTCAGATTACCTTTTTACTTAGATCTTTCAAGTAGGCTTCTATCTTTCTACTTGGTTTCTATGATTTATATAGTCTAAGAACTTATCATGAGTTCATACTGCCTAGTACTGATTTGTGTTTCTTTATACAATATTGTACAAATGCCTAGATTTTCTAGTCATGTTAGTATAATATAAGTTACAAATACTAATTCTAACCAATTATAAAAAACAGTTAACTATAATACAAAAAGAATTGCAAATTTTCACTATTATTGAAATTTGAACTCTAGACCTGCCAATTAAGAGTTAACAACTTATTCATTTTATTAGATTATTATATTTCTTGAAGGTTTTTTACTAATTGCTATACCTAACACTTCTGCTTAGATGTTTTATTTTAAACTCTCTGAACTTGCAATTTGTATTAATTTTACTAAATCATACTCAGATACCCAGATCATCATCTTAATTTTAGAACTATTTTATTTTTAAGGTAAATTTTCTAAAGCTTTTTATATCTATTTTTATAACTAATCTAGTATTAATATAATAGAACCAATATTTGCAGTTAGGGCAACTATTAAACTACTATGTTCTTGTAAAGTTTACACAGACCCTAGTATCTACTTTACAGTATATTTTTAGTACTTTAATATATTTCCGTCTTTTACTAGATTTTCAATCTAAAAAGTCTGTATAGAACTATAATTAGTTTATTAGTATATCAGATTAGCCTAATATTTTTTTTTTAATTTGTTCTAGTAGCCTAATTAGTAATATCTATAAAACTTTTTCTAATCTAAAGGCTCTTGCTTGTCTAGGTACTATGATTTTGGTATCTGTTTTTAGTAGTCTAGTCTTTATAGTAGTACTATCAAAGATCTAATTACTTAGGTATAAATTATTTTAAGAATATTAAAAAATTTCGAAGTTTTGATTTTCTATTATTTTTCAGATTTTTTATTTTTACTTAAAAAAAAATATTATTACTACTAAAATTATAGTATACAAAAAATTTTATTATAATAAACATTTTTGGACTATTAATAAAAAATATATATTTTTTTTTTTTTTTTTTTTTTTACATTGGTGACAATGCCAGTTGGTTTTTATTATCCTTAATTTGATATAGTACAAATTTTATGATTACATTTTAGGATTGATTATTACTAGTACTATATATTATCTAATTTAATACTACTGACTTCATCTGGTTACCTTTATGGCTCCTAAGTACATGTCCGCTGCATGCCTGTATGCAGTTACCTTGGCAACCACTTGTGGTCATGGCACACATTAAACCGCTACATAGACAAGGATACCTACCAAACTTAATGTGATATCCCAAATGCCAGGGGTACTGTCTTCTGTAAATCATACTCATATGTCCTACTCACATGTTTTACCTGGTCTTGTTT